ACGAAAATGAGTAGTTCCTCCATATCACACCTTAGCCTTCTCATATTTCCATTTTTCTGCCTCTGAAACATACGCGGCCCAAGGCTTGGCGGCGGCGGCCTCGTCACCGGGGTCAAGACCTGGTTTGGATCAGGGGTGGTTCTCTGGACCTACTATCTCCACAAAGTCGATTGGTTCTCGTCGAGGTGTAATTTCTCCATTCCAAATAATCAGATCTAAAAAACACTGGCCCGGCGGTGAAAAACACGACGGAAAAGACGAGGTAGATCTCTCCACAGTGAAGGGCTCGACGTACCATCTCCACAAGGTCGCTTGGTTCTCGTTGAGGTGTAATTTCTCCACTGTAGAAAATCAGTTCTAAAAACAATGGTCCGGCGCAGGAGGAAAAACAAGAACGCCAGTCGATGCCGAAAACGACGCCCAACCGAGGAGAGGAGATAGAAAGACAGTATATAATATAATAGAGATACGAGACAGGTAAGTATGACAGATACAAAAACACGGGTACAAGCACGGGCGCGGTTTGGTGTTACTGTCTGTCAGTGCGGGAAATAATTAGGTTTATGTACGCGACCAAGAGGTTGGGTGAGGATGAGGATGTGATGAGAGAGTGACAAAAAGAGAGGAGGAAGAAGAATGAAAAAGGGTAAGTAAAAAGAGAGAGAAGAGATGGAAGGTATGATTGAATATGTAGGTATGAAAAAGAACTGAATGTACGGGAAGGAAAGAGGATAAATATGAGTATGAGTGTCGATGCCGGTGTCGAGAAGGGGAAGAGGGCCTGTTAAGCCTGCAGCTGCCCCCGCTCATCTCCCGCCTGCGCATCTTCAAACACGCCTTCCTCCTCGTCCTCCTCTTCCTCTTCCCCTCCCTTTCCGGCCGCACCGCTCCCCGCGGCCTCCTCTGCCTCCTCCAGCTGCCTCACCCGCTCCTTCTCCACCCACTCCAAATACCGCACCAACCTCGCATGCGCATCCGCCTCGCGCTCGCCCTCCCCGCGGATAAGCACGATATAGCTGTCGGGCACCAGCGCCCTCCTCTCCGCCGGCGGGGGCGGATCCGCCGCTGGTGCTGATGCAGATGCAGCACCCGCCGCCTCCGCAGCAGCAGCCCACAACTCCTCCCACACCCTCCCCGCGTCCGTCCGTGCCCCCACCATCGCGTTCACCTCCAGCACGTCCGCCTCTTTCATGACGAGCGGCGGCTCCCGATCGCGCGCGACCGCCCACCCCGCGCCCGCGTTCGCTCCTCCGTCCTCCCCCTCAGTGCCATCGGTACCGTCCCCCCCGCTCCCAAGCACGTATATCAGCTGCCCCTCCACCAAATCCATCTCCGCCCGGTCAATGGCGGCGAATGCGAATTGTGCGCGGTATAGGCCGGGGGCGACGTCCGCGTAGCTCTCGGCGTAGTACAGCTCGTCCTCGTCCTCGTCCCCTGGCCGGTCAGTGTACAGCAGCCCCCCGTCGTCGTCGTCGTCCGAATCGTCGTCGTCACCAAACTCCCCATCCCCAAAATTCCGCGCAAAATCCGCCGCGCTCACCCCGTCCCCGTCCCCACTGCCCCCTCCGAGACTCGAGCCGCCAAAGGACATCCGCCCCTTGCCAAACGTGAACCCCCCGCCGCCCCACCCGTTCAGCCCGTCGTCGTCGTCGTCCCCATCCTCATCGTCGGGCGCGCCATAATCACTCATCCGGACGTCCCCCCGCAGACGACGCGCGAGGCGCGCGGGATCGCACGGGGGCGGGACGTCTGGGCCCAGCCCCGCGTGGCGCACGTCCGCGGGGGCGAAGGCAAAGTCGCGGATAGTGATAGGCGCGCGTTTGGAGGTGCCTGTGCCCGTGTTTGTGCTCGTCGACGCAGCAGCCGCATCCACACCCGACGACGGTACTGCCTGAAGTGGGGACTCCTCCGGCGCGTCCACGAACCCGCCCTCCCCCTCCCGCTCCACATCCGCCGCACTGACACTCTGACTCAGCCGATGCCGCGCCCCAGCCAGCACGCGACTCGTCCTCCTACTTCCCGCCCCGCTCCCGCTCCCACTTCCTCCTGCCCCGCTCCCATGCCCGTGCGCACTGCTCCCGCGCGACGGCGACCGCGCCAGCTGGAGCGAATTCCGCTGACTGTGTCCGCCCCCAAGGCTCGGCGAGTGTGAGTGCGCGTGTCCCTCCGCACCCGCCAACTGTGCGCTCATCCTCCTCTCCGACCTTGCCAGACTCGTCCGCCGCGAGAGCGCGGGCGACTGCGGGGCGGGGCGGGAGGAGGACGGCCGCGGGGCGCCGTCGTCGTCGAGGCCGCCTAGTGGGTGGTGCGCGGACGGGTTACTGGAATTGGTGGAGCCAGAGGACATGGGCGTCGTGGGCGTGACAGGCGTGCGTGGCTGCTGGGGCGGGAACGACACGCGCTTGGCCGTCGTGGGCGTCGTTACGCCTGGTCCCTGCGATGGGGGAGGGGGCACGAGAATCGCTGCGGGGACGTGGGGCGTCTGTGTCTGCTTCTGCATCGTTGTTGCTGCCTCCATCGTTCCCGATGATGCTGCCGTCGTGGATAGATGCGGTGTTGCAGAAGCAGACGCAGACGCAGACGCAGCGACAGCCGCGGCAGTCGACGCAGGCGTAGGCGTCGCCGGTGACGCGTTGGAGCTCGACGGGGAGGACGCCGCCTTCCCCTCCCCATCCTTGCTCGCGCTCGTTTTGGAAGCAGACGCAAACGGATTCACCCCGGACATCAACGCGCTGAACACACCCGCGCCGATGCCGCCCAGCCCCCCGGAGCGGGGCGTCGCGGGCCCGGGGTCCGCTGCTGGAATTCCTTCTCGCGCAGAGCCGTTGGCGTTCGACGCGGAGTTGGAGCTGGCGTCAGTGCTGCTCGTCTTCTTGTGCCCTCCTGCGCGCGCGCGTTAGTACTCGCCCATCTCACAGATTGCTAGGCAGAAGCAGAACACGTACCGTTACCCGCAGCCGCATTTGCAAGGGCACTCCCACCCGCGCTCCCCACGCTCCCAAAACTCCGCTTTCCAGGGGGCGTCTTCATGGCAAACTCGTGCGCGCCGGGTATCGGCGGGGGGAGGAACGAAGAGGAGGGGGAGGGGAAGGGGGAGGAGGAGGGCGGGGTGTCGATTGTTAGTTGGGAGAGGTGCGGGTGGTGTGGGGGGTGCGGCGAAGCACTGGTGGTAGTTATTGAGGGTTGTGAGGAGGAGGAGGGCGGGGATGAGGAGCCGTCTATGAGAGGTTTTTGGTAAGCGGGGATGTATTTTAGGCGGTGTAATTAAGATAGAGACAAGAATAGAGATAAAGAATGGACGTAAAGCCAGTCGAAGCCTGGCGGAAGCGCAAGGTAGGGGCGCTCTCTGGACCCAAGTGGTAGCAATAGTAGTCGTAGGCGTGAGTACACGTACACTTGCGAGTGGGCGCACACGGCAGACAGCAGTGCGACCATCGCAGCAGCGGACAGTCACTGGTCGACGGCCATGGGCAGATGAGATGATAGCCAATCAATGGGCTATCTATCATTAACCCGTTCTGCGTTATAGATCCCTGTCGCCGTGAGGGATCCAGGGATTTGCACCGCACCGCATCGCAACCCAAAAAGATTATTGCCATCGTCCCAGATCTCCCCACGAACAAGAATGCAGAAGAAGAAGAAACAGATGAACATGGAGGTGCCACACACCTTTCTTAAAGTTGGAATCGCCACCCACGACGACGGATACAGACGCCATGATTGTCTCGAGTCCGCTGAGTATCAAACGCGAGAGGTAGTTCCCCGTGGTTTATTGGTTTATTGAGTTTTCGCGGTGTGGTTTTGCGCGAATAAGAAGTACAAGCCAGTCGTACTTCGCGCAGCAGTCCGTGTGCCGAGTAACGCGCCTTCAGTGCCTGTACGTCCGCGTGGTAGAGACACCGCCTAGAGGACCGGGTTTTCTTCGCCCCAGAATGTAGTGTATACCAGAGTGTATACGTGTTCCGTCGGAAGGAGTCAAGCGACTCCTGAGCCTTTAAGCAATCCTTTGGTAGTCGTTCTTTTTCGAGTGAGTTCCTTTGTCCCCTTAGGCCCAGGGGTTACAAAGAGCAGTGAGGCAAGTGGTGACAGACAAAGCAAAGCACAAAGGCCGATTGAGCGCCAAAGCACAATTGGCGTGGGTCAAGGGTGATGAGCAGCTGGAAGATACAGGGCCAAATAAGCGTGGAAATGTGCGCGTGGCGGGTTGATGCGATGTTCGGCGGCTGGCAGTGACAAACCACGACGATCTCTTCACAATCTCTTCGTTTTGGTCTGCCTGGGGTGAATTTCTGGTTTATGCACGGCCAGAACCACAAAAGTCTTTCTATCCTTTGCCCGACCCAGCCTCGAGGCCCAATGGCCCCACCGATGCGGTTGGCCTGACGACTTGGAAGTTGGCGCAGTTTCACAGGATGAACAGCATGTAGAATGACTCGTTCGATGTCTTGTGGTCTTCTTATCCCGACTGGATTCTTTGGCGCCTTCATAATTGCTTATCTTTACCCCTTCAACTCAGCAAATGCCGTCGTTGTCTTCATTCTCAGCTAGCGCTGCGGCACCGATACCTTGGCGACATTGATTCCTACAGCTCTCCGAGTGAGGGCTTGCGCATTATGAAGTACCCGCGTTCGACGGGAGTCACTGCAATACCTACCACACAGTGCACACACAGCGTCGACTCGAACTCCAGGCGGCTCCCAATTCCCTCTCGATTTGACGCACTCGGTTGGAAGAAAGCGAAAGAACTGAGAAAATTAGGCCGACGCTCATAGGCACCTTCAAAAAGGAGAAGAACAAACAAAAGTCATGGATGACGCGTTTATGCATCGCCGGGGAGTCGAACCCCGTCCTCAACCTTGTAGTGTCCTGGTTGGGTATCCAGCAGCCCATCGACGCGTCGAACACTATCAATCCAGGCCCAATTGGGTAGGTATTTTCTTGTGCTAGAGGTCGATGGAATGAGGCACTCAAAAAATGCAGTGTGTGCTATTATCCATGGATGCATCGGCGGGGACTCGGAGTCGAACCCCGTTCTCAACCTTCCGAATCTTAAAACAATCTTCGAACAGATAGGTTGCAGGCTACCAGTAGCCCACCGACGCTTGTGACCTCTCGTTGATCTCGTTGGTTGATGTCAATGAAGATTAGGTCGATCGAGAACAACAAAGGCTTGAGACAGACCAGCACTACTTCGAGCGAATTCTCATGATTAAGTCCGAGTTGTACCAGTCTGCCTACGGCAAACCAACCTCCCCATCTTTTTGCCGTAGTGCAGACTGGTTACGAGTCTACCTCTTTCCTTTTATCCATGTCTCAGCGCGCCGCAGCCGAGTTCAACGCATTGGCAAGTGAAAACCGCGAACCGTTTTCATCAAAACCCTCTTCTAACACGAATTGGTTGCGTTCGTAGGTGATGATAATCATATGTTATGCTGTATGTGGGCCTGGTACGGCTACGACAGCGGTTCTACGTACGGAGTAAGTAGGTATCTCTATCAACGGTATTGTACGCTATCGGTTTTATAAGGAGGAAAATGAGAAGTTGTAATAAATAGTACGTATCGCGGGAAATTGTGTTTCTATCATGGTCCGTAGGCCGGAAAGCTTTTCAAAGAAAAAGACTACATCGGCGCAGCTGAGAACTATCAGCGCGCCATTACTGAGACCGCATCCGTGGCTACCTATTTCTCCAACTTGGCCGCCGCCTGTCTGAAACTGGGAAGGTATGTCTGTCTTGATCAAAAATCGCGTAGTAATTTCTGGCCTCAATCAGATACCAAGCTGCAGAGGAGGCGGCGCGGAGGGCTCTGGTTCTTGAACCCAGGCTATCAAAGGCGAGATACAGACGTGCGATGGCGCGGAAGGGCTTGCACTGTATCCCCGAGGCACTCGTCGATATTGTTGGCGTGCTCACTGCGAACCCAGAAAACTCAGAAGCGCGGGCTGCGTTTGATGTGCTGGTATTCAGAATAAGACCGGGAGGCGGCCGCTAGAGGCTCCTCAAATCGTTGCCCTCGACTTCCCCCACGCATACGGATCTAGCTCCAATCCACCTCTTCAAAATTACTCCGACCCTCATCAATTATCCCTTCCCTTTATCTTCAAGGAAGAAGTAAATGAGGAACCTGGTCACGCTGCTTTGGACCCAGACCTCTGCGTAAGTGCATGTATGACTTGCAAGCGCACCAATGACAAGAAGAATCTCAAATCATGCAAGAAGGTGAGTTGATCGCGCTGATCGAAAGAAATGCTCCGTAATCCGGATTCAGTGCCGCCGAGCGAATTACTGCAATGTCGAGTGTCAGCGAGCCGACTGGCAAGTTCCTATCCTCTCTCCGAAATATGTATCGATTGTTTTCTGGAAGGCCAACACATAAGCTCACCTGTGCCGTCGCCGTAGATCGCGGTATGACCATTAAGCTTGGACGGGTATGGTACGCCAACCTCGCCAAATGGCACTTACTCATTCTTTTTCGTTTTGAGGATCTCCACCATCACCAATTTTTCAATTTAGTTTTACTGTTCTATGCTATTCGAGCAATGGGCCCTCCTAACCTCGTAGGCGGGAAGCACGAATTCCTCCTGATGGTTAATGTGGATTTGGTACCTAGCGCCTTCGGCTCGAAGAAAAGCAAGCGCATCGCGGTCAAGAATCTCATCCCAGTGCCTCTGTGTATCGTTCCAGCGGAGATCGCTGATATTCAACGCCGAGTGGTGGAAGAAACGCGTCCGGAAACCCTCCTGCATGCGATTTGGATAACCACGACCAGTGTTTACGGCCCGGGCGAAGAGGAGGCTTCCAGAGTTGGCTTGCTCGTCGTGAACCCTTTGATTGCGAAGAGCATGTCCAACCCGTTTTTTTCCTTGGACCTCTACAGCCATTCGTATGGACTCAACCGGCGAATTACTCCAGACCTTGATTTTCTGTTCGAGTACGTATCTCTATCTTTTCAATATGTCCGACCAAGATTTATGTATGCACACCTCAGGAGTATCAATGACGAGTTGAGATTGGATGTTACAAACTACTATCGAATGCAGACCTCATGACGTGGTTCATGGCATTCAAATCAATGTTTTTTCTTTCACGTTAATCTGTTTGCGGCCTCTTTCAAGCCGAACGACTCAATCTACGTCAACCCAAACGTTTTAAACCGCCCTAAAACCTCACCCAGAGGTAGCAGATCTTTCACGTTAATCTGTTTGCGGCCTCTTCCAAGCCGAACGACTCAATCTACGTCAACCCAAACGTTTTAAACCGCCCTAAAACCTCACCCAGAGGTAGCAGACACTCTTGCAACACAAATGACCTTTTCCTTTCTCAATTTATTTCAACACGAGATCACGTGGGCCATGCCATAAGTATCAGATAAAATCACAACATCCTCGTCCACTCTTGGCAGTCATTCCCTGACACCACAAATCTCATCAAGCCCCCGTACGCTCCCAACCAAACGGATTATCACTGCTCAGAGTCCGCACAGGAGAAACTGTTGGCGATGTTGTCGAAATTGAACGCGCTCAGGGCGTTGATTGTTCCGTCGACAACTAGAGACTTGCCCGTGCAGCTAGTGGACCTGGGATATCGGGAAGTCACCACAGCAATCATGGCACCGAGCGAGACAGACTTACGTGAAAATAGTGCAGACGGTACGAGGATTGAGCGTTCCAACGCTGCTGACCGTGTTGGTCAAGTCAAGCCCCCCGTTGTTAAAGGGTTCATCTAAAGTCTGGCAAGCGCTTCCGTAGCCGATGTTCGACCAGCTTGTACAGTCATCTAAGTTCTCGTTGATGCAGGCGGTAAAGATGGGGATCAACGGGATGATCCCGCGGGCTGCGGTACGACAGAGGCGGAAGCAAGCGTGGCGCTGAGAGCGAAGAGAACGAGTGCGTTGGACATCATGATGAGAGGAGAAAATCTGGAGGTCTGCTGATTTACCTATAAGTATATGCGCTTTCACACCCAAGAGAACGGCGGTATAGAAAGTGAGCCGCACAAAAATGTCTATTTCCGTTACAGAGCGGCCGCAACAATGCCCTGCCGTTTGAACCTGCAGAATAACGAATCAGCTAGTACCATTGAGCGTCTGTTTACGGAATAATCGTGAAGATCGGATGTTTCGTAGCAGGCGAAACTTGATATTTTCCGACATGATCATGATGCTCAAAGTTGTCAATACCCTCAACTTGCGCTCGACGGTTCGGGGATCTCTTGCGTGTCTCAGTTTTCATTACACTCACTCGTGGCCAATTACAGAGTGGACTGAATTTAAAGAAACGGATTCGCCATACAAATTAAGGTTCCCGTCCGAGTCATCTATGTAAATACGTATCCTTCCAACGAGATTGTGGTGGTGCCGCAAAAGCCACGGCCACGACTGACAACGCTCATTCAGTGGAGAGCGCCTGGGGCGCTCCCGGGCGCCGCTTTCTTTTGAGTAATTAGAAGTTTGATGCGACGGGAGTAAAATTACATTGAACTTGCAGGCGTACCGCAGTCTCTCGCTCTTTGGCCATCGTACCAAAATTGAAGTACGGTCCCTGGAAATGTGGGCTATACGATAGCGAACCTGGCGACCCGTCTTTTCATTGGATGGTCCCGCAAGATTGATTTGGCATAAAGTGAGTCGCAGCAAAACTGATCCAGTTAAAGCTCAAATACATCAAGACCCTGTCAAGACCTGCTCCATATGCATTTAATCCGGCGACTTGGCAGAGTCCCAGGACTGATTTCCGAAGAGAGGTGGTGGAGTGCATGTGGCAAGAACGTTTTACAGAAATCTTATGTGTAAGGTAAGAGATGTTCAGTAGTGAGTTCGGAGTGCAATGAAGAACACGATGGGGCACTATGTATTGCGGCACCTCACTCCAAGGCGAGAGTATACCTTGCGGAAATAAGCGTTGCAAAAGTTTCCTCGCAAAATAGGATAACACTCACGTCACAGGAACGTTTGATTGGTTCAACCCTGATATCGCCAGCGGGATTCCCAAGAAACTGCAAGCTCTGAACAAACAAGGAGAATTGTATGCAGTAGTGTGAGACTTACCGAACATCCGCATCAACGTTGATCAGGTCCAACTTACTGGGAACGAGACACCACCTAGCGTATTGGTAGCGCCTTGGGTGAGGCTTACGTTGGATAAGTTTCCCGAGTTTGCAACGCCGTCCAGGAAAGGTGGCAGGTTACAACATAACGAGGTACGAGTTTTTCTGTTGTAGCGTCTGTTTAAAAGAGACTAGTAGCAGGTCCAGACTGGTCCAGAGCCGGACGGAAGGTGTGCGTGAATGCTGCGTAAACGGTTCCGTTTAGGCCTGCGCGCGCGTGGATACGATCGATGAGGAGACCGAGGAGGAGAGGTCCTTTGGCTGCGAATAGTTAAGATGGCCGCGTGGTGCCAGTGGGCTATTCGGTTCCGGCAAATTAATACTTCCGGCCCCGGCGGGCCGATGTTCAACCATTTCGGACATCTCGGGCATTGCCCAGCCGCTCAAGAAGAGCTTGCGGCTTGGCATGTACGAAGTGAAGCAAATCCTCAGATGAGCGGATGGGCGGGTTGTGCTGTGTACAGATTACAAATTATTTGCAAGGAAATTCTTTCAACACGGCGCGGGTGTACCATCATCTTTGCTCCCGCCAGTGCCCGTCTAGGTGTCTTGCGCCCGCAGCTATGGGTTTGAGCCGCACTTCCCTCGCGTCGATTCAGTTTCCGTCCCCACCGAGGCCGAGAGCGTGCACTCAGTCGCCTTAGCGGGAGAACGATCGGAGCGGCAAGACCGTGGTGATGCGGAGGTTGCACTGGAGCCCCGCGCGAACTCGGCGTCTTCGCGAGCGAGCCCGTCCATGTGCTACTCATTACTGAGAATCGCATTCCGAAGAATTATGAAAAAAGAGCCACGCACCGAGTCATCGGAGAAAAGGACGAATGAATTGCGCGTATGTGCGTCCATTTTACGGTGGAGGGAGCGGATGTTTAGGCTGTTGTTAGTTAGGTTACGTTGTGTTGAGTGGCTAAATTTGGGAGAAGGGGCGCACGATGCGAGAAGGGAGTTTGAGTACACTGCATTGGTTGTAAGTCTGAGTGACTGGATAAGATAGCCGAA